GGCCCCGGGCCTGCGCGCGGCGATGGAGCCCGGGAAGGTGGGTGCGGACGCCTCGCGGGAGGCTGAGCCCGTGGGCGCACCAGGTGCCGGGGCTGGAGTCCTGGCCTCTGGGGACGTTCCCGACGTGGCTTGTGTCCCCGCGGATCAGGTCGGGACAGTACTGGTGGGGCCGGCGGAGCCCTGCAAGGAAAAGTGCCTAGAACGGTGATAGTTTTTTATTCACTGAAGTCTAGTCTGTTGACAGTGTTGTGCTGGTTCCTGGCGTACAGCAGAGTGGTTCAGTTTCACACACATAAATACCTGTTCTTCATGCTCTTGTCCGTTATAGCTTATTACAGGAACCTGAGTATGGTCCCTGTGCTCTGCAGTAGGTCCTTGTTGTTCGTCTGTTTTATACACAGCAGTGTGTGTATCTGAAAAGCCCAAACTCCTAACTTATCCCTCCCCAACACCCTTCCCGTTTGGTAACCATCAGTATGTTGTCTATGTCTGTGAGGCTGTTTCCGTTTTGTAAATAAATTCATTTGTATAATTTTTTAGGTTCCACGTGTAACTGGTTTCATACGGCATTTGTCTTTCTCTGTCTGACTTACTTCATTCACTCAGTATAATAATCTGTAGGTCCATCTATGTTGCTGCAGATGGCATTATTTTATTCTTCTTTTATGGCTGAGTAATATTCCATTGTATAAATATATCACAGCTTCTTTATCCAGTCATCTGTCAGTGGACATTTAGGTTGTTTCCATATCTTGGCTATTGTAAATAGTGCTGCTGTGAACATTGGGGTGAATGTGTCTTTTCAAATTAGAGTTCTCTCTGGGTATCTGCCCAGGAGTGGGATTGCTGGATCATATGGTAACTCTATTTTTAGTGTTTGAAAGAACCTCTGTAGCAGCTGCAGCAAACTACATCCCCACCAACAGTGTAGGAGGGTTCCCTTTTCTCCACACCTTCTCCAGCATTTATTATTTGTAGATTTTTTAGTGATGGCCATTCTGACTGTTGTGAGGTGATACCTCATTGTAGTTTTGATTTGCATTTCTCTGATAATTAGTGATACTGAGCATCTTTTTATGTGCCTATTGGTCACCTGTGTGTCTTCTTTGGAGAAATGTCTGTTTAGATTTTCTGCCCATTTTTTGATTGGGTTGTTTTTTTGTTACTGGGCTATATGAGCTGTTTGTATATTTTGGAAATTAAGCCCTTGTCAGTTGCTTCATTTGAAAATGTTTTCTCCAAGGCTGTAGGTTGTCTTTTCATTTTGTTTTTGGTGTCCTTTGCTTTGCAAAAGTTTATAAATTTGATTAGGTCCCATTTGTTTATTTTTGCTTTTATTTCTATTGCCTTGGGAAGCTGATGTAAGAAAACATCAGTAGGATTTATGTCAGAGAATGTTTTGCCTATGTTCTCTTCTAGGAGACGTATGGTGTCCTGTCCTATATTCACGTCTTTAAACCATTTTGAGTTTATTTTTGTGTGTGCTGAGGGTGTGATCTAACTTCATTGATTTACATGCTGCTGTTCAGCTTTCCCAACATCAGTTGCCAAAGAGACTGTCTTTTCTCCGTTGTATGTGCTTGCCTCCTTTGTTGAAGATCAATTGACCTTAGGCACGTGGGTTTATTTCTGGGTTCTCTATTCTGTTCCATTGATCCATGTTTCTGCTTTTGTGCCACCACCACGCTATTTTGATGACTGTAGCTCTGTAGTATTGTCTGAAGTGAGGGAGGGTTATGCCTCCAGCTTTGTAGGACACTGTTTTTAACTCAGTAGCTGTTAACTGTCGCTGTCCTGCTTGTCTGTGGATTCCCGCTAAAAGATGAGGAATTTAGTTTGCATACGTCTCCTCCCACCCTCCCTCCTATTACTTTCTTGTTTCCGTCATTGACTTTTATAATGTTTGTAGTATTGAGCAGGAAGTTAGTGCCCTCGCTATCCTCCGCAACTTCCTGCCCTCTGTCACCTTCTCCAAGATTCCCTTAGATTTTCAAAAGTTATTGTATAACTTAAGTTTTTTGTGAGTTGTTTATAGGTTGCTTTTAAAGTTGTGTTAGCCAAAACTTTAGAAATGGAGACCTGATTGAAATAAAAAATGTTTATTTGGTATTTGCTAAGACTGTGGCCAGGGAGACAGGAATTGAAGAAGCATTTGAATTGTGTTCCCAGGCTATAGAGTGGGGGAGGATGGTACAGGCACAGAATGGCACGATCACAGTTGTCTGCATGAGTTGTTTGTCAGGAGTTAAAATTGGAGCTGGAAAGAAGTGGGGGTGCTTGTTGGGGGCCTGCGGCTGGCAGCTGCTGCTTGGTGGCTGCTAGTGTCCTTGGTCTGGTGCTGTTCAGACAAGGTTCAGGTTCCTGGTGATGCAGGGACGGGTCTGAGGCCAGTTCCTCAGTGGCCACCGGCCCCACCCTGTGTGTGCCTGAGCTGGCGTCCCCCCATTATGTCAGTTGTCATCAGTTACCGTTGTCGTCCGTGCGGAGCCAAGAAATGTGGCTGTACAGCCCTGGCATGGGGGCAAGGGGGCGTCTCTTTTCACACTGAGTGCAGTGTATCACAGTGTAGTTTACTTCCTGTTTCCTGTAGTTTCTGTTTGCCTCCTTCGTTGGAGAGAAGAGCATGTTCTTTTTAAATTTCAACCTTATCATTTATGACTCAGCTTATTAATCAGTCACATTATCTGTTGAATGAAATCTCCTTTAAAAAACCCTTCGCAGGGCTCACTGACTTTCAGGGCTAATTGTTTCAAGACCTTCACAGAGCTCTTCTGGGAATTTCTTTTCTTCGTTCTTTTGGGTTACATCTACTGTTTCTTGGATCCAATGCTGTCACCGCCCTTGAAATTCCCCATTTTTCCCCTGGAGTAAATCCTCAGACACCCTTTCTCCAAGGGTGTTATGCTCTGAGAACACGTTACTGCGCTGATGGCCCCATGCGAGAGTGCGGCCCAGGGTGGAGATCCAGTCCCAGCACCTTGACTAGCGTCTGCTTTATCTCCTAGCTACTGCTTGGCTGATGAGATACCTTTGCAAGTAACATCTTTCTCTTCAGAAGATTCCGGATCATTCTTCTTGGTGCTCTGGACAAATACGGCAGGAATCTGTTGTGGGTCTTTTTTCACTTGTTATTTTTCACATTTGATCATCCCTTTCAAAATATAAACTCAGATCGCCTTCACTTCTAGGACAGTTTTCCTGTTATTTCTGTATTTCCTTCTCCTGCTTTCCCCATTCTCTCTTTCTGGAACTCTGATCCAGTCTCTTGTAGGATGTTGAACTCATGGCCCACATTTTCCATCTCTGTCTTTTTCCCCTATAATCCAAGAGATTTCTCCAACTTTACTGTTGCCTCATCTACTTAATGTTTTACTTTGTTAATTTTAATATCGAGGATTTTTTCTTGTTCTTATATCGTTCCTTTTAGCAGCATTTGTTTAACTTGTGCTTATAATATTTTAGAAAAATTTGGAAGATATTCCTTTTATGCCTTTTTTTAAAAAATAAAGATTTCTCTTTATTTTCTTGGTCACATTTCCTTTTAGGATCCTTTTCTCCATTTGTTTATCTTGATTCTTTGCTCTCTCATGTTTGTTTTTCTCACTGATCTTTCATATTTGTGTGAAGCGCCAGATTAATTGTGTAAGTTCTGGGATTCCAAGGGTTTTCTCTGCTGGTCCTCTGCTCTGGTTCCCTGTCAGGCCGCCTGCACTGTCTGCAGAGTCCTGCTGGAAGCAGGGGTTCCAGCACAAGCCCCGAAGCCCCTCGGGGCTCCTCTCCACCAGTCCTCGCACTAGTCATCAGACACCCCTTTCAGACACCTGTTTGCCTCTGGGACCCCCGTGAGTTCCTTTCCCTCCAGTGTTTTTCTGTGGTCTGGCTGAGATCACTCACCTGGTTTATTACAGTTTGTGTTATTTTTGGGTCACTTTTGGGATTTTTTCTGGTACATATTTATTAAACATTTAAAGTCACAAAAGCCACGACCTCAGGGCTAATGTTCGCTGGCAGCTGATGGGTGTGCACCTTAGTTCTCAGTTTAAGCCGGTCACTTACTTCTTAGGAAGTTAACCCACCGGTTGTTAGAACCTGATTGTGTAATTACTGTGACTTCGTGGAGTTACTACTTTGTCTCCTGACGCAAAGGGAAGGGTCAAGGCGGCACCAGCTTCTTGATGGTGTTTCTTCTGGCCCATGTCCTGTGCCAGCCCTTCCCCTTCCTCTGAGCATCTGTGCACTCTTCGCTCACACACACACACACACTCTGTGCGTGCACACACACCGCGCTCACGCACGCACTGCACTGACGCACACATACTGTGCTCATGCACACACACACAGCGCTCACACACGCACACACTGTGCTCACACGCACACACACACTGTACTCACATGCACACACACACACACACACACTGCGCTCACACATGCACACACACTCTGTGTTCACACACACACGCACGGTCTGTGCTCACACGCCGGCAGTGCAACGCAGCAGGGCCAAGGCCTCCCTGCCCTGGGTGCTCACGGCCATCCCTGGGACACCGAGCATGCCTCGTGTCTCCTCGGCAGCACACCTGCTGGTAGGACCAGGCAGTGCTGTGAGTGCTTTATGTATTACACAGTGTTGTACACCTGTTTTACCTGGATGAAAGAGCACACTTCAGCTTACCTTGCTTACATGGGAATGGCCAGGCCCAGCATCTGCCCCATGGACTGGGGGCGAGGCCTGGTGTCAGCAAACCATGCAGGGTGGACAGGAGTGGACACGGGGGCAGCCCTGGAGAGGCGGGAGCCCGCGTCTCCCCCGCAGCCTCACTGCAGTGAGAACAAAGGACAGTAGCCATGTTTAGGGAGCGCTTCCTCAGTCACTGAATTAGATAATTCAAAAAATTCTGGGATCAGGCATAATTTTAAAAGATTAAGACAGCAAGAGGGAACTGTCTTGACCCCAAAGCGGTGTGTGAAGCAGCCTTTCCCCCTTCGGGACTTTTTAGCAAATGTTAGGGTGGTCTGTCACCTCTGGGGGTGGACAGCATCCTGTGCCCCTGTGGTCCTGGGAGTCGCGGTGATGCAGGGACCCCGCCCCGGGGCTGCGGCAGGTCAGGAGATGCTAGTCTAGCCGGGTGTGGGTGGCAGTGGCCCGGACCGGAGGGTGGAAGCAGGGCATGAGTTAGAGGAGGACATGCAGGGACCTGGTGAAGAGCCGTGTCTGATCTGAGAGTGGACCCGCCCCTGGCTGGCTGTCCGGGCACCAAGACCTGCACCGAGGTGCTTGGAGACGGATCCTGCTTGGCCTCAAGTCTAGGGAGCAGGGACAGCCGTTTTCACCCAACTGATGGAGAACGAAACAGCCTTGCCCTCTGACCTGCGGACTGGTTCAGTGACTGGCAGCTGCGGGCAGGCAGAGGGAGAGGTCTGCTCGCCCGGGCGGTGCAGGGCGCTGGAGGCAGGAGTGGAGGCCCCTGCGGGGCGGGTAGCTGCCCGGTGCTGCCTGATGGGACACCCGTGAGCACAGCACTGCCGGGGCAGCTGGTGGAAGTCACAGCTGGGGTGTGTGGGGAGGTCCGGGCGGCTGAGCTGTTCGGGTGGGGAAACTGGGGAAACCACTTTTCTCCAAAAGGGAAACAGGGCCAGCAGGGCCGCCTAGAGACCCAAACATGACCCTGGGGGTGAGGCCATGGCTGGACGGCCTGTGCCTGGCTCAGGAGAGACATGGTGCAGGGAGGTGGACCCTGCATAGTCATGTGGGCCCCGAGGCAGGGCACTGGGGTCTACGGCGCTGCTTCCCTGGGCCCACCTGGGGCCGCGCCTGTGGTCTGACACCCCTGCCCCCTGGGGGCCCTCCCCTGGTTCCCGCAGTCTCAGGATGAGCTGTGGGCCCTGCGTGGATGGGAAGGGAGGGAAGCAGTGTGACCCCTTTATCCCCGCGGAGGTGGACAGACTGCCTGTTGCCTGGGTTCTCACTGGGCGCCCAGCAGGGCTTTGCTGTAGAAGCTCCTGGACAGCAGCCGAGTCTTGGGCTGCGTATGAGCGCTCCCTGTGTCTGTCCATCCCGCGCACAGGATGACACGCACGTGGGTTGCCAGCTGAGGTCCCCGCGGTAGACTGGCTGCTCCTGTGGTCGGAGGGTTTACTGTTCAGGCAGTGCCCTTCACGGAGGACACGCGGCCTCCGGCTGTGGAGTAGGTTTTAACTGCACTTGTTGCTCCGCGAGGCAGACGGGGAGCACGGGCGAGGGCGGCTCCTGTCTGAAGCCGTGTCCCCGCGCGCACTCTGGCGCTGCTGAACTCGTGTGACAGTGAGCTGTGGTGGGCACGAGGTGCTTGTCATTTTAC